GAGAGAGAGAGAGAGAGAGAGAGAGAGAGAGAGAGAGAGAGAGAGAGAGACATTTGTGTATAGAATTTTGGAATGCTTAGCTTTTCATGTCATTTATCTGTTATTCTCATGCAGTGCTATAACATTTGATTGATACACTGATATTGCAATGAAAGCTGAGGTTTAAGAAAGGGTTTTATTTAGATTTATGAAATGAATGTATAACTGAGACTAGATTTGAATATTTTATTCACAGCTTAGTATTAATTGCCAAGTATGCTTGCCCAAAGATTTTAGTAAATGAGATGTGTTTCAGTATTAATAGCTCGGGTTGGTAGTTGGCCTGTTGGTTTGATCTCCAAGCTTGGCGATTTGGTAAACATTTTAGTAAATGTTTAACTCTTTTCAGGGAACAAATAAATAATTCCAAGCCAAGAAACACATTTAAGATAATTTTGTGCACATGTATCTGATTGTACTGCAGGTAAAGATTCTCTTTTTTAATGTCATTTTTACCTGTCTATCTTAAAATAATGTTGCTGCATGGAACATATTTCAGGAAAAAAATATCCTATTAAGAAACAGCATCCTCATTCAGGGGCAAGAGGGACTTTTCCATGTATGAGTTGGTTTCTATTATGCTCCTAGATTAAGTCATGTTATTCTATGTATGCCAGTGTCCCTAAATGGATAGTCATTACTCTGCTCATTCACAAACCATTGTGTGATGTCTGTAAAGTTAATAACATGTATACTTTGTTGAAACACATTTCTATCATTTTGACTCTTGGAACGAAATTTGAAAGTATATGATGTATAGCCAAAATGTAGAGCCAAAAATGCATATATCAATGCAACCCTAAATATATTCAAGATTACAGGAAGACTGTTGGAATTGTTTATTTACATCACTTAAAAGACAAAACTTCCTCCTACTCAACTCCAGAAAAATAGGAAATAAAAATCATGATTTATTAACTTGTATGCAATTTGACACTCGGTGACCCTGGGCAGCTCCCAACAAAGAAATCACAATAAAGTTAATTAAATATAAATATAATATGCAACAGATAGCAAGCACAATGTAGCAAAGGTCTCTTTCAGTCAGTCAGTCAGTCAGTCAGTCTGTCTCTGTCTCTGTCTCTGTCTCTCTCTCACACACACACCCCTTCATTATTTTAGACAAAAAAGAGGGACATTCAGTTCTTGGGAAGGACCTCCTTCCTAAAAGCAGGCACTGCTCCAGAGAAAGCATCCTTGGAGGGTCCTGACAGATTTACTCAAAGCATGCCAACTCTGCAAGATGAAATTGGCCAGACAGATGCCATGACATCAAGCAACCAAGCCCTATCTCTATCGTTAACCAGAATTTTTCATTCTTTGCTTCTTTCTTTTACAGTGACAGGGTTAAATGCAATGTGTCATACTTAACATTGTGTATCATGTTTGATTCCTATAAATTTCTGATGTGGGAGCATATACCTTGGATCATCTTCTAGTCTAGTTCACTATAGTTGCCAGGCCCAAAACCAAAAATATCACATGATTCTTCCAAGCTGAGTTCTTTAATGTTTCACACCTATAGACAAATTCTTGCCAGACTAAGCACTGTATTTAATTTGCATCTAAAATGTGAACTATTAGGGAGGGACTATCTTCACCCTCTTCCTTTCACACCAATCTGGGCTGGGTTGCTTTTTACTCGTCTGGAATGTTTCCCCATCTATTCTATGAATCCACCTTCTTACTGTATTCCATCACAGTAGAAGAGCACTGATCATCCTTTGAGGAACATAAAAGCTCTGTGGATTTGAAGGGAGAAAGAAGATTTGGAGAATTCAGCAGTTCATTAAAACTACTGCATCTTTTTCTGAATCTACAGTTTGCAAATTTAGGAAAAAATGCATTTGATTTAAGCAGGTGCCAGATGATGTTTTGTACTCACCTCATATTTAATGTTTTCCTCTTTGAATGCAGATTGTGGCACAATCTAGCAAATATATGATACAGGTATACCCTGAGTCACTAACATTAAAGAAGAGAATGACTGTCCTTTTTTTTTTTTTTTTGCTACTATAATGTTAGGAAAACCCGGCCTGCAGAAAGTTCCAGTGAATTGTGTGTGGAGGATGAAGATATAATTGAGGATGAGCAAGTAAAAGGCACAGAACAACGTTCTGTGTTTTCTGCTCCTACTGGGGTTAGCCAACCTGTTAGCAAAGTGTTTGTTGAAAAAAATCGTAAGTAATTTGTTTTACAACAACAAAATGTTAGTATATTTGAACAAATATGGTAAAAGATGATGATGATGACAACTCTCATCTTATATCTTGAAGGAATTACTTTCTTTATCCAGATTATGTCTGTCTGTCTATTCATTCATTCAATTAATCAATTTCAGGGCCACTTAGTAACTCTGGCAGCTTATAATTTAAAAAAGAACATAAAAGAGAGCATGGTGGACCATAAAAATAAAACTAAACAAAACCAAAAGGGGTTTATGCTACCTTATCTCAAGGCCTGAGAGAACAACCAGATTTTCAGTATTTTCTAGAACATCATATTAAGTAATTTCTAGAATATCAAGGATGGGGGGTACATGAATAAATATCCTTTAAGTTGAATTTATAGTACTTCAAAATGTGCAAGCACATCCTTACTTAAGTATGACTCTTTTGAAACTCACTCCACTGTATCTTATCTCATTGTATTTTGTTCTGGCTGATGCTCATACTTTGATATGGTCAATTGACTGATCAATAAATATATCATATTAAAATTCATACAAAGCTTACATGAAGTATCTGTGCCATGAGACAACCCTCACCGTTACTTGATTTAAAAAAGTGCAGGAACTTATCCTAAAAGTCATTGTTGAAAGAAAGTTTAAAAATCTGATTTAGAGAATTTGCCTTTGTGCCATTTCATTTTCTTTTGAAAAAATTTGCAGAATTTTTGAGGGATATCCTTTTCCACCTAATGCATTATACTGTTCCTGCTGTTAGAAATAGTATAGTCTGACATCATGAAACTCTAAGAAAATTTGAATATATTGTTTTTGTAAACCACCCAGAGCTATTTATTTTTATTTATATAGAGAAATAATATCTCATATTTAGGATTCTCTCATAGATGAGATGGGTGGTGTAGAAATGTAATAATAAGCAAATAAAAATAATCATTTAGAGCTGCTAATTAAAAGCTTTGTTACATTTCTTGATATTATTTTGTGCCTTAACCAACAAATCTTAACTTTCTCAAATGGGGGAAAGGTGCCTGAATTTCCATTTGTCCCAGAAGTTGATATAATAATTTTAATACTTCATCCAGATCCATTTTTTCCTTCTTTGATTATGGCTGAGATTACTAGAACCAAATGACGATAGCAAATTAAGTACCACCAAATAGTCACCTTGCAAATAGTCGTGTTTCACTGAAGTCAATAGGGTTTGCTTTCAGATGATTCCTGATATACAGTAAGAGCAGCAATGAATTTGCAATTAGAAAGTATGCATATGTATATAGTCTCAATTTACACTCACCAAAAAATTAACCTGAATTTTTATGAACAAGTATAGTAATAGGAAGCTTTAACAATATTTTTCTTACAAGCACTTAACATTTCCACCCCCCCCCCAGGGCGTTTTCAGGCCACAGATCGCAAGGATTTGATTAAAACTACTGAACACGTTCAAGTGTTTATGGATGTAAAGGCTTCTTGGACTACTAAGGATGTGGCACTTTCAGTTCATCGTGGTTTTAGGTATGAAATTATTCCCACTATTGACATCATTAAAAATGAACAAGTGATTAAAACGAATAAAATGTCCAGTGATGCCTTCTCCTGACTTTGGAATCAGATTCTCCTCCTTTCCACCATCTCTCTCTGTCATGATCTCAGGTACACTTGAAATGTTGATTCACCAAGATGCAATTGTTTACCAATCTCCCTGAGATTTCATTTCATAATGCAGGCGAGCATCTACTTAGCAATCAATTAACCTTGCTTTAGAGCTGTGTGGAGAAAATATGTTCCCCTGCAGGTCCCACTCTATCGTTATAGCCCAAGCTAAGTTGCTACAGACAGTTTTTAGTTTAACGTTATAGTTTTGGCTTGGTAACAAAACTCGATTTTAAGGCTTAAAACACAGTGATGTATGTGAAATTTGCAACTCAGCCCTTCACCACAAAGCTTTTTCTATCCATATACTGTGAATGTGCCTGTTGACTCTTGGCCAATATAACTTTTTCTGAGCTGGAATATCTAATAAATTTAAGACTATTTACAAGAAGTTCTGTTTCAGGATATATTAACAGAATCTCGTCATAAGACGCACACTTCCACTGCATCTTAATTCTTCCCATTTGTCCATCTTAGGATGTTTGTCTGAAAGTTTTAATGTATGGCGCTTGCATAATCACTGTAATATTCTGCACAATGAGTTCAGTCACATCAAATAAATAGTCTTCCACAACAATTAACATCCTGGTAATTCCTTCAGAAAATGACAGTAATTGATATGATGATTGGCCTCCACTTATAATTATTTCTTATAAATGTTATTTGCCACCTACAAAAATATTTGAATAGAGATTATTAATTAAAATCTTTTGATTTTGAGCATTACTCTCTGTGACTTGAATAACTTGAATACAGGTTAATAACTTGAAACTTGAATACAAAAGTCCCTATTGCATAGGTGAAAACTACTGGCAAGGCAAATTCAGAGCCTAGAATTTGAATTTAATTCACTAAATCCTGAATTTAGGGAATTCTGACTTTCTAATTCACTAGAGACTGAATTTAAGATGGTGGACATAAAGGTTCTTGTAAATCTGACATTCTGAACATTTAACTCTGTAAGATTTGTAAACGTTTAATTTTTTATTAATATGCTTTCTTTTATTAGGGTAATTGGATTTTTTACTCACGGCTTTCTCGCTGGCTATGCTGTGTGGAACATCATAGTGATTTATATTCTGGCAGGAAATCAGTTTTCAACCCTTTCAAATTTGCTACAGCAGTACAAGACTTTGGCATATCCTGCTCAATGCCTCCTTTATTTTTTACTTACAATTAGTACCGTTTCAGCTTTTGACAGGTATTTGTGCATTCCTCTGTCTTAGTGACAATGCCTATGATTCATTGTAAAGTTATCTTATTAATTGAAACAATGATTAATAGCTTAAACTCTTGACATATAATTGTAGCAGTGCAGATATTTTTCTGATGATTTTTAAGATGTTCAGTATGGAAACTACTCTCAAACCAGAAAGATTTGCATTGTGTTCTGTTAGTTTCTTATACTTCCTACTTTTGAAATTCTTTATTCTTTTACTAAAAAACTTTTATTATCAATATTTCTGAACTGGAGACATCTAGTTTAACCAATGATACCAACACAGGTTAATTATTCTGATGAAATAATTGGCCCCTAGATCAAGGTTTTAGAGAACATCTTATTTCCTTAACATCAGTGGATAATTTCTTATGAGATATAGCAGAACAAAGTCAATCAGCTAGTGGCTCCTTTTAATTAAATCAATTTCATACTCATTTTTCAGAATCAATTTGGCTAAAGCAGCAGTGGCAGTACGCAGTTTTCTTACATTGGATCCAGCAGCAATTGCTTCTTTCAGTGAGTAAACAGCACTAGCTGACCAATAAGCATTACCTAGTTACTCCAGTTTATGCTTTAATTATATTTTCATTCTGATCTTACAGCTTTATTCTTCTGTTTTCACATAACTTATTGTGTATTGTAAAAAAGCAACCATTTCCATAAAGACTACCAGTATATTTTGTTAAATAAAAGTAATGCTAGGAGGCTCTAAGCTGGTTATATATTTATCAAGTAATAATTTGATAACTCATAAACTAATTTTGCAGATTTGTATCTCACAATTCTCTTCTGTATCTGTCCTCTGAATAGACTAAAGTGCAGCAAATTTATTTTCTGATATAGGACAGAAAAGAGCAGTCTGAATGCTATCAAAGTGTTTTGCTGTTTTGGAATTCCTGAAAGGGAAAATCTAGGCAGTGATCAAAGAATTTGGGAGGTTGTCGCAATAGTATAATCATTTTCACAGTTTTTTTAATAAATATTAATTTTCTAGTTTTACAGTAAATAAATAACGTGTTGTCTGGGTCCATTAGTAATTCAGTGGTCTATATTAACTTCTTCAGTCTATATCCAATATTACACCATCAAAAAGGTCATCTTTTGCAACTTTTTGATAAGCAAAAACAATGGGGAAGCCAGATTCACTTAACAACTGTGTTACTAACTTATCAACTGCAGTGATTCACTTAACAACTGTGACAAAGATCTTAAAATGGGGCAAAACTCATTTAACAAATGTCTCATTTAACAACATAAATATTGGGCTCAATTTTGGTCATAAGGTCGAGGACTATCTGCACACTGGTGAATCAGATTCATGGAAGAAACATAAGGCTCGAACATGTCAATGTGTTGTTAACTCTTCCAAAATCTGGAATATCTCAATAATAAACATTATTCATTTCTTCCAGTGTATTTTGCTGCTCTTATCTTGTCCCTGAGCCAACAAATGACAAGTGACAGGATCAACTTGTACACACCATCTTTAGAAAATGGTAGCCTTTGGTAAGAATTATGGACTTTTTCCTTCTTAAAAGACAGTTAATTTAAGGATATCTTTACTATATATGTATGATTATACAGATATAACTGAAGCTTTTATAACTAATAAATACGTATGATTCTCCTCTCTCCCACTCCCCAACTCCACCCAGGATTTCAGATGAAGAAAAACAGATTCTTCAGCCTTGGATTGTGGTTAATCTTGTGATAGCTATTCTTGTTGGGATCTCCTGGTTCTTTTTGTCATATCGGCCTCAGCTGGATCACAGTGAAGGTACAGAAAAAGATTAGACTGTAATCCATTAGAATATGGGAATCTCCTTAATAGATTATCTGAATGGCAAATTGCTGCTTCTTTCCTAAACAATTTTAGATCAAGGAAATTACTAAGGAAAGGGAGGAGATAGTATGGCAGTAATTTCAGTCATTAGCCACAAGGAAAGGAACAGCAGAAAACAGTGTTAGGGGAGAATATGGGAATATATTTGAAGAGACAGTAGTACTGCAAAATGACTAGAGAAATTAAATTGAGGGATTGTCCAGCAATAAATAGAATTCAGTATCTCAGCTTCACTATTGCTATAAATGCATTGAACAAGTACATATTTTAATTTGTATTTTATATTTTGTTGTTTGCCTTATTTTAATTGTGATGCTTCTGACATTTATAACATTTAACAAGTGTTATTTCCTTGTTAACAATACTGGTAAATATATTGAGAATAAAGCGTTAATAATTTTAAGGAACCTTAGAACGCCGAGTGACATATTTTTCAGCTTAGATGTACAATAATCTGAAGGAGTCTACATAGGCAAATAGGGAGTCCTGATGCTAAGGTTTTCTTTCCTGTTTCCCACAAACTTGCAACCTATTCCCCAGCTGTAATATTTTCAGAAGACCATGTTTCCCGGTGGAAGGAGGAAATGGGGGAATTATTTTTAATGGATTTTATTGTACATATATTTTTCATTATATTTTGGTATCCTATGATACTTTGTTTTTTCTTGTAGAGCTGATGTTTAATGGTGAAGTGGAAGAATATCCCCTCCCGGACAAAGAAGCTAAAGTGTCTTCTTAGCACAGGCAACTTCTTCAATTTCATAAGATGCTTCAGTCATTTATACTTGCATGTAATATTTTTTTACACTTTTTAAACATTTAATTTGAATGAATTTTGTAATTATGCTATTTACATGTTATACAATAATACAATACAAAATCATTTTTCTCAATCAAGTTATTTTCTATGGATTTTATGCAACTTTCACCCAGTTAAAGATTACCAGAACAAGAGTTTTAGTAGTACTTACATGAAGACTAGATTACAGCAGAAGCATAAAAACATTATGGACATTTTATAAAAAGTCTTATCCTTTCAATATTGTGCAGGTTAGACTGTCACATCATTTTAAAGGTTCAAATTCATTTAAAAGTGATACTATGAATTTTAAAAGGCATTCTTTAGGATTTTCAGGATTTTTAAAAAGCAATTTTCCATAATTTCCCCATTTTTTGAAAGATATGTGTGAACTGCATATACAATATTAATTTTAGGATTTTTGTCAGGTTAGATTGCTTTTCTTCAATTATGGACAGATAATATTAACTTTAAATATTGAAACCAACTATTCAGAGAGCATACTAAAAGATAGCTCATTTTACATCCTAAAATAGGAATAAACAATCTATTGGAAAAAATGGAATAGGGGACATAATGCAAAACAGCCTGGATCAGTGATGGCGAACCTTTTAGAGACCGAGTGCCCAAACTGCAACCCAAAACCCACTTATACATCGTCGGGTGCCGGGTGGGCGTGGCCCATTGGGTGGGCGTGGCTACGGTGGTAACAGACTGGGTGGGACTAAAAAGTTCAATCAATCAATTCCAACTTTGCAAGATCTCCCCCCCCCAGAAGTTGAAATTGACTGATTGATTGAACCTTTTTTTTTTTTGCACATGGCGGTAGAAGCCTAAAACAAAAAGGTTTTATAAAACCCAGGTGAAGGCCTAGGACTGGGGCGACGGCGCGCGTGCCCACAGAGAAGGCTCTGAGTGCCGCCTCTGGCACCCGTGCCATAGGTTCGCCACCACTGGCCTGGATTGTGCCATGTACCCAGCTTAGGCTAGGATTTTACGTTTTTGGTTGGGCTATGGGTTTTTAAAAATATTTGAAGCATCTTGTAGGATTTACATTACCTTTTCCCTTTAATTTCCACCTTGGAATAGTAGGAAATCACTATTGATTTTTGGCAGGTATAATTAGCTTCAAGTATCACAAAAAGAAATTTCAGAAGCCACAGGTTGAAGATTTAAGAAATAAATGTTGCTTATTCCACCAATTCAAGGGCATTCCATTCATTACACATGATCTCCATATAGAAACTTCTGAAAAATACTTCCACAGATGTTCTAAATTACAAAGGTTTGTGCACCTATCCCCAAAAGATGGAATGACTTCTCCTAAGAGTAATTTGCTGCTAGGACTTGTTCTGATGTGAACCTATCAGATTTGGGTAAGTCAGTATTCTATATTGTATAAACAATTGGAATAGACCTGCTTGGATAGACTGGCTTGCATTGGAACCTATTTTTTTATTATGGAAAGAAGCACTTGAATACAGGGTAACTATATCAATCCAAAGTAACAACTATAAATATATATATTTTAATATACGGAATTGTACATTATCCATGGGATCATAATGCAATACTTGCAATGTACAACAATATACACGACAGGTAAGGAAATACTTCATGACACCATACTTCACTATGATAAGTTGGTCTTAACCTGTTCTGCTTGAGCCTTAATGTGGTTAGTTTGATTGTGATTTAGTATGCCATAAGAATGAGGCCAACCCAATAGACTGAGGGCATGAACTCAAAAAACTTTAAAAGGCATTTGACAGAATGATCGATCTATCAGTAAATACCTCTTATTAGCCATGAACTTCAAATGAGTGTCCAGTCTACTACTTGCAAAAGGGCAACTTAAAGAAGGCCCCGATTTGGGCTTCTTGGTTATCTGGTTAACCACTCTGGCGTTCTTCTGAGTGCAACACCAAATCTAGTTTCAGTAAAATCTTACCAGGTTGCGGCTATGTTATTTTCCAACACCAACAGACGCGAAAGATCAACGTCTTCAGGCAGGGCAGGGATGTGGGTTTTAATAACTCCAGGCAGCCGCCGCCGCCGCCGCCGCCAGCGATCCAAATTGTGACGATGCCTGAGCGGGAAAGGGGAGGGCAAGCAAGCCGGGAGCGAGGAGCAGGCGGCTCGCCAGAAATTCTCCGCCTCTCGCAGAAAGGCTCTCCCGGTGAAGCTGGAGATGTGAAAAAGACGCTGTCGGCAGCCTCCCGAGCAGCCGACGCCTGAGCCTGAGCTCCAGCCGCCCTCGCCATGGCGGCGCCTGGGCACCGCAAGATAAACACTGCTGTGGAGCTGCCGCCGCTGCGTCCCAATGTCCCGTGGTCGCCGCGGCGGGACTCGACGGACGAGGGCCCCGCTTCCACCAGTTCCTCACGCGTCCGCAGCACCACCAGCAGCACCACCCGAGGCTCGACGGAAGGAGAGTCGGGCATCTCGCACTTCTCGGTGTCGACCATCCTCGGCCTGCGCGACATCAGCTCCTCCTCCACCCTCGCCGTCCCCCCCACGGACAAGCTCAAAGGGGAGAAGGCTCGTTCCCTCCTCAAGGTGCGGTACTCCGTGCGGGGCTACCCGGGTCGGGACTGACGTGCGAGGCCGAGGACATGTCTCTTTTTGGCACCGGGTTTATCTTGGCTCACCCTCTGAACGCAGTTTACCTTTTTAAAATAATTTTATTAAAAGTTTTTAAAAGGAAGATTAAAAACTAATACAAACTACTATCAAGTAAGAAACAGGAGAAGAGATTGAAAGTGCAACAAAGGAAAAAAGAGAAAAGAGGGGGAAAAAGGTTTCCGACCTCTTCTTTATAACAGTTATAACTACAATTATAAGTTAATCTTTTTCTCTAAACTTGCAACTTCATTCTACAGGTAGTTATCAACTTACGATCACAATTGAGCCCAAAATTTCTGTTGCTAAGTGAAACATTTGTTAAGTGAATTTTGCCCCATTTTACAACTTTTCTTGCCACAGTTGTTAAGTGAATCACTGTAGTTATTAAATTAGTAACATGGTTGTTAAGTGAATCTGACTTCCCCATTGGCTTTGCTTTTAAGAAGTTTGCAAAAAGTGATCACATGACCCTGGGACACTTCAACTGTCATAAATATGAGTCGGTTACCACACATCCAAATTTTGATTACGTGACCTTGGGGATGCTAAGACAGTTGTAAGTGGTGAAAAACGGTCGTAAGTCACTTTTTTCAGTGCCGTTGTAACTTTGAATGGTCACTAAATGAACTATTGTAAGTCAAGGACTACCTGGATAATCTACCCTGTCCAATCATCAAAATCATTAAGTTCATTTTTTCTTTTTCCCCAAAATGTCCATGAGGGACTTCCAGGAAACATATAAACATAGATATTGTCTTTTCTCTAACCAGAGAAATAAAAGTTCCAGTACTGTTTTTCAAATGTTTGTCCATCAATCCCAAAAGAAAGAACTCTGGTCCCATTTGTATATTAATATTTACAGTCTATATCAATGTATGTATTTGTCCAAAATTTTCTAGCTTTTTTACATGTCCACCAAGCATGATAAAATGCCCCTTCTTTACAGCATGAATTTGAATTGCCTTTATCCAGTACATTCTAGACCAGAGTTCCCCAACCTTTCTGGCTTGGTGGCCAGAAATGGGTGCATGCACAATGGTAGCACTGGTGCCCGCACGCATGCGCAAACAGGCTGCTGGTGCCCGCACACGTTTGCAAATGGGCCGCTGGTGCCCACATGACGCTGGCAGCAGTGCTAGCATCCCCACACATGTGCAAATGGGGCTACTAGCACCCGCACAGCGGTGCTACCACGAGTGGGGGGATCTCACCAGCTATTCCTGGGGCCCAGTGGCCAAAGCCCAGTACTGGGCCGAAGACCATAGGTTGGGAACCCCTGTTCTAGACCATTTCTCTAGAACACAACAAGGGCTTCAATAGCCAGGCTTGCCTTGGGAACTGGGCACAGCAGAACAAATAAGTCAGATCATGGCACCTTAAAGGCCAACAAGTCAATCTTCTGAAAGACACTGGATGGTTTAAGTACACACACATCAAGGAATATAGGTAGCCCTTGACTTACAATCACAATTGAGCCCAAAATTTCCATTGCTAAGCAAGATAGTTCTTAAGTGAGTTTTGCCCCATTTTAAGACTTTTTTCTTACAGCTGTTAAGTTAGTAACATGATTATTAAATGAATCTGGCTACCCCATTGACTTTGCTTGTCAAAAGGTTGCAAAAAGGGATCATATGACCCTGGGATACTGCAACCGTCATAAATACATGCCAGTTGCCAAGCATCCGAATTTTCATCACATGAACCTGGGGATGCTGCAACAGCTGTAAATATGAAAAAAGGCGTAACTTTTTTCAATGCCATTGTAACCTTGAACAGTCACTGAATGATTGTAAGCTGAGGACTACCTGTAGTTGAACATTCCCCCACTGGAGGGCTGATGAATGGGTGAGAATACAACTCCCAGAATTCCAGGCTGAGAGATACTGGAATTCTGGGAGCTGTAGTCTTGTCAAACTGCAGAGTATCATAGTGGAGAAGCCTGGGTTAGTGGAAAGGACAATTCTATGTGGTTTCTTAATCAAAATAAAATAAGCATTGTTTCATAGTTTTCTGTGAGATGCTTGGCTATGCATTGTTCCCTCATGCCTTTAGAGAGCAAGTGCACTTTAGTGACGATTCAGTAAATAGAGGACAAAGTGAATTTCTAATTATGATCTTCCCAAAATTTTAGATTCCATGCAAAACCAGCTCCAATAATTCTATTCTGGATTAATTTTTTCTTGTACCTGAAATGTAAACTCTAGAAGCATAGATGAATACTGTTGGAAAACAAAGAGAATCCCCTTTCTCAGATTCTAATACAATTTAAATGTACACCAACATGCTTTTGCCTTCGGTAGGTAAGTTCAGTGAATTCTGGGTTACTGCTCACATACCTTTTATAAGATAAAATAAGTAAACATTGAGCAGGTATGACCCTATTCTAATTGCACCATCAAGGTATACATATCAAAAGAGAAACAGTTCCTATTCAAGGGGAGGGACT